CCTTCTCCGGCACGAGAACTGCAGGAAGGAGGTAGGAGACCTGCCTGACCTATTGTTCTCTCCGAGAGACAGCGCTGTGAAGAGCTAAAAGCAGCGTTTACACTCTCCCTTTCGTATTGTCAGGGGTGGTCCCATGATGCACTGCTGCACTTTTACTCTCTAAACCCTGTACACCCCTGAGTGGCTGCACCCAACTGCAGTGTCATCTCTGTTTACCATTGTTATTGTTCCTTTCAGCATGTTACACCTAACAAGCATGGCAACAAATTAGAGCCTGAGAAGGGCTACAGACGAGAGGAGGCCAGTGGTCCAGTTAGCTGGCTTGGCTAATAATAGCTAAATATCAGAAGATCTCATCCAGTAGATTCAGGACACCGTCTTCAACACCGTGGCTGGGGACCTTGTTCCAGACTCCCGCCACCTTTAGCGTAGAGAAGTGCCTCCTGCTCTCAGTTTTAAATACACTTCCTTGGAGTTTCCACTTGTGTCCTGTGGTTCGTGTTTCTCTGTTGGCTGTGAAGAAGCTAAGATCACTGGCTTTGTCCAGGCCCTTGAGGAGGTGGAGTAGTTGGGTACACTTGGGTGAAGGAGTTATAGCCCGGACAAGCTGGAAGATACTGCACTTTCATCACAGATGGGGTTACCCATGGGGGTCGCAGAAGGAGATCAGGGGGTCGGTTGAGAGGCGGGGTGGAGTAGAGGCCACGGCAGACATGGGGGGGAGAGAGCAGGAGGCAGGGAGGGGGTCAGGCAGTGAGAGAGAGAAGGGGGGAGAGAAGGGGAGAGGGAGAGACAGAGAAAGGGGTTGAGGGACAGAGGGACAGAGGCACGGCCGGCTCACAGGGGGCGACCTAGAGGACACGCCACTAGGGGTCAGGAAAGGCGGCCCGCAGAGGAGATAAGACACAATAGGAGGAACTGTAATAAAATCCCTGCGACCCCTCCCAAGCCGAGAAGAATAGTCCCGTCCTGCAGATAATCGGCCCCTGTAGCCCAGGGGACCAGAGGCTCTGAGAGGAGGCTGCGGGGCGGGGGAGTGTGCACGACAAATGCCTTCTTTAAATAAAAATCAAACGAAAATGGATTTAGCAGAGAAAGTAGGATGCTCAGCTATGCCATAACCCTTAACCCCCTTTGTCTCACGCTCAGCACAACCGCTCCTCCTGTGTGTCTTTGTCTTCTTTCGCTTGGACGGCGGCCGCTGCAGCTCACGGGCCCGGCTGGCCCGCGGAGGTCGGATCGGAGGAGAGCACGGGCACACTGGAGCGTCAGGAAGTGCAACGACAGCGGGACGGGCCAGCCCAGGCTAAGGGTCCTGCTCCGCTGAGCCCGGGCGCGCCAGTGGCACAGGGCACCGGGCACTTTCTCTCCAGCGCCTCTGGGCAGGGCCGGGTTCGAGGGGCCGTGCGCACCGCATCCTGCCCTGTGCCACACATTGTTCACGTCGCCGGGTGATTAAGATCTTGTCTAAACAGTCGGATCCATCACTTGGACCGAGCTGCCGTGCAACAGCTTCAGCTTCCTACAGAACAGCAGCTGCCACTGAATTCCTGCTGCATTTAGAAAACAATGTGTGTTGTTCTTGGAAGGCTGGATGAAAACCTATTCTGGACATTTCTAACACGTTGCCTTAGTCTTAGTCCCTGATCAAGCCCTTCTACTACTGTATTGTGGCAGCACGGCACTCTAGCAGATTACTGCTTTATTAAAGCTACATTTAGATGTAATATGTATTAAGCACATCACACCACTTTCAATAACTCCGTATCCCATTCAGTATTGCAGTGGAGCTAGAGCCTATCCTGGGAAGCAACAAGAACAAGGGGGGGATACACACACACCCCAGACACCAGGGCAGACAGATACAAACACAAATACAGGCACGGGCTCACATCAGAGACATTTTCCCAGAAACAATTAACCTGCCAGTATGTCTCTGAACTATGGGAGGAAACAGGAGGACCCTGGGGAAACCCACATGAACACGGGCAGAACATGCAAACTCCACACAGATAGCACCCCAGGGCTCCCGTGCTGCAAGGCAGCAGTGCGAACTACTGCAGCACCATTCATGAATTATCTTTATAAATATTACATTCAAGAAGGCATAGTGATGTGCCTCTGGTTCATCAATAATGGCAACAGCAGACCTGACTCATGTCCATTCAGGCTTCCTCTAGGATTTATGGGCACATCCATAAAACAATGAATTTAGGGTGCAAGAAGCTATTGCTGTTGTCTGAGTGATTCTGGATCTCAGGAGGCATCTGTGAATGGCACATGGAATTGATACCCCGTGATGTCTTGCTTGTAATCACAGCCCAGTTTGCAAAGCTGTAACATTTGTTGGATGTAAGACACTGCAAGGAAAAGTCTGTTGTAGTTTAAACACACTAATACGCCCCTTAGAATAGTAGAATAGTCTGATTTTGCCAAAGGATGTCCACATCAATGGTACAGCCCAAAATCTCAGACTTCCACATGATAATAATAATTAATAATTGTCTTCTAGACACTCCACTCAAAGCACTTTACAAGTAATACGGACTCCCCTCCACTGCCACCAATGTGCAGCCCCACCTGGATGATGCGACAGCAGCCATAGTGCGCCAGAACGCTCACAAGCTATCAGTGGGGAGGAGAACAGAGTGATGAAGCCAGTTCATAGATGGGGATTATTAGGCCATGATTGGTAAAGGCCAGGGGGAAATGTGCCCGGACGCTTGGGTTACACCCCTACTCTTTTCAAGAAACACCCTAGGTTTTATATCTCATCCAAAAGACAGCACCTGTTTACAGTATAGTGTCCCCATCACTATACAGGGGCATTAGAGCCCACATGGACCTCAGGGTGAGCACCCCCTACTGTCCCCACTGACACCTCTTCCAGCTGCAACCTTAGTTTTCCCCAGGAGTCTCCCATCCAGGTACTGACCAGGCTCCCACCTGCTGAGCTTCAGTGGGCTGCCAGCTGGGAGTTGCAGGGTGAAATGGCTGCTGGCTATGAGGAGATGAGCGTCAGTCTGTGTCAGACCCTGCACAAGGCGCAAAGCCGAGCTACTGCAAGACAGAAACCTGCCCGCTTTGTGGCGTCTGACAGGTCACGTTGTGCCTGTGTCTAAGGTGTTAGAGATTAGGCCCCGCAGGGCTGGGCGCATCCTGGGGCCCTGCCAGCCCGGCTCTTTCCTTGATGGGCTCGCGGAAGGGCGGTCGAGGTACGTGCCATTCCACACTCTGGGCCTCCCTGCCGAGGCGTGGCATGAAAGGAGCCAGGTGCAGGGGGTGCCTGTGCCCCAGCGGCCGTGCCTGCCAACGAGCACGCGCCTGTGTGTTTGTGCGCACGTCCGCACGGGGTCCAGCCTGCCTGAAGCCGGGAGGGGCTCGCTAACAATTTCTATGGCATCTCCCTAAAAAAAAAAAAATGCATTGTGCATTCATTTTCTTTTACTAGAGCCCTTTGATATAATGTGCCAGATTGCATTCTACTTAAGACATAACAATATCAAACTGCGTGACCCTGGAACTGAGAGCTGTCCATGGCACAATCCAGCCCAGCACCGATCTTTGCTCCCAGCACCCTAGGGAACCATCTCACAGAACCATCCACCCAGCTCCCCAGTTGTTCAGCTGGTGGCCAGCAGCATCAATGCAGCAGTGAATGTACCGGAGACAGTCCTGAAACTGGCCTACAGAGTCTAATGTTTCATGTCTTATAAAAGGGTACAAATAAGAGCAGGTCACTTGGCCCATCTGGCTCGTTTAGAAGTTAGTAGTTAATTGATCCCGAGATCTCACCATCCAGGTGCTTCTTGAAAGAAGCCAGGGTATTGGCTTCAACTACATGGCTGGTTAGCTTGTTCCGCACACCCACCTCCCTTTGTGTACAGATAGCGTTTCGGTATCATGCTGGTCATCCACAGCCATTGTGACACGGCCATAGAGGCTGCATACTGCTCCGTAACAGCGTTCACGTTGTCTGAGACTATTGTTCCAAAAGACAGAACAGGTCCATGAGTATCTGTAGTGATGCTCAGGACCTGACACCGCAGAGCTCCTGACAGTGTTGGGTGTGGGATACCGGTGAGGGTCATTATGGATTGTTAGCCGTCTATGCACTTTCTAACTGCTTCATCTAATTCAGAGTCTTAGGGGAGCTAAGCAAGCAATGGACACAAGGTAGGATACACCCTGGAAGGGACACCAGTCCATCACAGGGCACACAGACACAAACACACTCACACCTGGGCCAGATTTCCCAAGAAGCCAATTAAACCACCAACATGTCTTCGGACTGTGAGAGGAAACTGAAGCACCGAGAGGAAACCCATGTGAACCAGAGGAGAACGTACGAACTCCACACAGACAGCACCCCAGGAATTGAACTCCGGGCCCCTTTCAATGGTTATCTTACATATCTTATACATCACACAGTCCCCCAGAAGTCATGTTACCCAAAGCCCGGAAAATGCGCGCTCTTTTGAGGTCAAGCCTTTGTCTGCTGTCGGGACCTCCAGGGAAAGAGAAGCGCTCAGGGCAGCATCTCACGGGAGGGGAGAGGAAGCCCGGACATCAAAGAGCGCCTGGGCTCTGTCCACTACACGCGCGATCGGGTTTCACGGCCGGCCCGCGACAGATCTCCGGCCGTCACCCTCTGTCGCTCCAGTTAAGACGCTCGATAAGGACCCGACAGAAGAACCCAATCCCAGTCGGAAACAAGCGGTTCCTGCGCAGGCTGGTGGGCGAGGAGGAGCTGTAAAAGATACACCAGAGTCGGGGGCCGAAAACAAAGCCATCTTTATCCGGGCTGTAGCTGGGAACGTCTTTCCCAACGGGTTAAAAAGGTGAGGTTTTCAATGGCGAAAAGAGCGGTGTGTTTCTGTGTGCGTGCGGGGGGGAGGCTGTGCGTGTTTGTTTGGGAAGGGGGGGGGGGAGAGAGAATAAGGGGTGTGTTTATCTTTTCCGAAAAAAAAAAGCTTTGAGCAGTAGGGCCCTGAAGACGCGCTGAATAAACTCCAGCCTGAAAACAGGTTCGTCTGTCAGCATCCAAGCTTGGACAAAATACTCCTCCAGGGACCTGAACCAGAGGAAGAGAGAGTTTGGAGGAAAAGGGCTCTTCGGATCGATTCAAGTCGGCTAAAAAAAAAGTTTCCAGCCCCTGCCGAACAGTTTAATTGGCCCACAACGTGCGACAGGAAACAGACCTGTTGCCGATGCCAAGTGACCGGCTGCTATATAAGGGGGCAGGGGGACGAGGATCGTTTTTTCTCGGGTCGCAATTCGCAACATCCAAAGCCTGCCGCCGGGGACGGACCGCGCCGCGTCTTCTGCCCGTGTCAAAGTCACTATGAGCGCCTCGGTGGCCGTCTACCGGAGTATTTACACGGAGGACCAGTTCCGACAGTCCTTCGGCAGCGACGGGCCGCCCAGCGCCTCGCCGCGGCTGTCCGAGAGGATCGCGCGGGGCTGCAGGTGCTCCCGAGCCGCGTGCCTCCGCCTGCTGAGAGCCCGCGTGCCGATTGTCAGCTGGTTACCAAGGTACCGGCTGAAGAAATGGATCCTGGGAGACGCCGTGGCGGGTCTGACCGTTGGCATATTGCACATCCCGCAAGGTGCGTGTTGTATTCGTGTTTGATTATTGGATGGCTCGTTTTCCATGCGCGCCACAGGGACATTGCTTCGAATGTAAACGGGAGTTTCAACAGAACTTGCGAAACAGTCTGGTTTTTGTGTTGGTATCTTTATCGGTATCGGTTAACAATACAGACATTTCACAAGCGGTCTTGGTTGCTGAAATAAAGGCGTTTTTATTTAAACAAGCACATTTCAGCACTTTATTCAGCATTTCAGCGGGTAGCTGCGTCAGCACGCGTAGTCTGCGAAGGAACAAGTGATAGGTTTATTCCAGGCTGAAAAGAGAAGAGAGAGAACACAACGTTTCGGCTGCGAAGCCTTCTTCAAGTGTGTCTTCAGGTGTGACGCACCTTCTCCAGCATGAAATAAATCTATGACTTGTTCCTTTATTCGGTATTCATGCATCAGCAGCTCACAGTAATGTTATTATAGTAGAACTTGTTTGGCAGGGTACAGTAAATGATCAAGGGACATTTTTTACCTTTTTAGTCAATTCGTGAGTTTATCTTTACCTGCTTTTGGCGGCGCCTTCAATAATGCGCTTCTAATTGAAGACACAAGTTTGATCATTTCTAATAGTCACATTTATACAGTAGGTCAGTGTGAGAGACACCGCGTCCCTCTGACACTTTCTTGTGAAGTCTAATGTAAAGATTGAAGATGCGTATTTTCAGGGAAACGTCTGCCAGTCCTGAAACTCGTCTGGAGCTGAGATACTGTGTGGTCACCCCCCGATCTGACAAACAGACAAAACCCCGAACCCCACTATTTCACCCGAGACGCAGCGACAGAGAAACTTGCGTTTTCTGCGCTAAAACGTTTTGTAAACAAATTCTGGTGTTTTAAAATAATCTTTCTGTTAAACTTTACTCTGCCGTGGTGAAGTGGCGACGTAAATGCTATGTCAGACTTGCTAATTACCGTACGTAGCACGTGCATGTACTGTATTAATCGTGATATACTGTCCACGAACACCTAGGTACAAGTTTGAGGTGAGAACTGGCGTTCAGCACCAAAAAGAATAGTTTGTGGGGAGCTGGACAGAACCCGGTCTTCTCGAAGAGAGAACGGGCTGTTCTATTGTCTTCGAGGGGGGGGGGGGGTGTTCGGTGTGTGCCATATTTAGACCAGTTAATCAATTAGCGTTGAAGCGGCCCTTTGTTTTAGGAAGGGGTTTTGCTTTTTCCCTCTTTGTTTCACCGCACAGTGGGCACCTGTTCTGGGCGAGTGTTTGCAGGAGATGTGTACTGTAGATCATCGCCAGTCAGCACTGATGGGCAGTAAAATGAGTCACACCACTGCAAGTCAGCTTCCAAATCCTTGTCACGGCTGACTCAACCCCCGGCTTGTCTCCCGCAGGGATGGCCTTCGCTCTGCTGACTTCTGTGGCTCCAATCTACGGCCTCTACACTTCCTTCTTCCCCGTCGTCCTCTACATGCTCTTCGGCACAGGGCGGCACGTTTCCACAGGTCAGTGTCAGAGCTTGGTCTTCTATCAGAGGGTGGGGGGGGTTTGCAGTCTGTCTTTGAGCCCTGGTGGGGCTCTGTGATCCAGGAGTTGCGGGTTCGAGCCCAGGCTGTGCCACCAGCCGACTGTGACCATTCCTCCAAGCACAGGGCTCTCTCTCTCTCTCGGCTTTCGGCGAAGCAGCAACAGCCGGGAATCCCCGAGCGCCCGCAGGCTGGCAGTGACATCACGGAGAGCCGCGCGGCTCCTCCAATCTGTGCTCACTCGCCCATCAGGAGCCGCGGAGCTCCCTGCACCCCACAGAGGGCGGTCAGTTCGGAGGAGTCTGTCCGCTCTTTCCCGGTCAGCCCACGCAGGACAGTAGCCCGTGCCCCAGAACATAACAAAGCAAAGTTGGCAATTCCCGAGTGGGTGGGTATACACTGAAGAACATTCAAATGTGGTCAAAAAGAGCTGGTTTGGTTAGTAAGGCATTCCCAATTCAGTACCCCATATTCTGCTGTGGAGTCCCAGCGTGAGTCTTCCTGTGGTGCCTCCTTCGGATGAGGGCTAAACCTGGAATCGTGCCCCCAGTCTCTGGTTGCTGACTGCCCGACAGCTGCCCCGTGCTTCCTCTCCTTCGCCCTCTCGTGCCCAAGATGGCCGGTGTGCGCGAGTCAGAAACGCGCCGCTGATCCGTCTCCCCCGGCCTGCAGGTACCTTTGCCGTGGTGAGCCTCATGACGGGCTCCGTGGTGGAGCAGCTGGTGCCCAGGCCCCTGGACTTTAACTCCTCCAGCCCCGAGGCGGAAGACATCGAGGCGCAGAGGATCGGGGTGGCGTCGGCTGTGGCCTTCCTTTCGGGCATCATGATGGTGAGTCACGTGAAGGAAACGGACAAGGGTTTCGAAAGAATTCCAGCCTTATTTGACAGTAACTGTAACAGTGGTGTGTAACAGCTTGCAGTTCTCATACGTACTATGACTGTGGCGACTATGACTGAGTTCTTAAGCTAGGATTGGATATCCATCCATCCAGTTTCTAGCAGGTTTATCCAGTAGAAGGTGGCAGGGGAGCTGGAGCCTATCCCAGCAAGCAATGGGCACAGGATAGGGTAGACCCTGGATGGGACACCAGTCGGCACACGCACTCACACCAGGGCCAATTTTTCCAGAAGACAATCAGCATGTCTTTGGACGGTGAGAGGAAACTAGAGCACCCAGAGGAAACCCATATGAACCCAGGGAGAACATGCAAACTCCACACAGACAGTAATTGAACCCAGGGCTCCCACACTGCAAGGCAGCAATGCTAACCACTGCACCACGTGCCACCCAGGGATTGGTTATCAAATGATTTTATTTTCTGTCTTACATGTGCACAGTCCTTGTAAGCCTTTGCTTTGGCTGATGGTTGTATTGTTCTAGTTCCGTGAAGAAAAGTACTGTGAGAGTATAGTAATACTTCAGGAGGGCTTGTTTAAAGCAGGTTCAAACAGGGCAGATGTGATTCCCCCTGAAAGGATCCTGTACCCCGCAGATCTGCATGTTTGGGCTGCAGCTGGGGTTCCTGTCCACCTACCTGTCGGAGCCCATTGTCAAGGCCTTCACCAGCGGCGCCGCCTTCCACGTCACCGTCTCGCAGCTGCAGAGCATGCTGGGACTGCGGCTGCCCCGCCACACGGGACCTTTCTCGCTCTTCAAGGTAAGGAGGTTTGGCACTCTGCGGAGGGGGGGACGTCTGGGCATCTGTTTTGCCAGTCGGAAAAACAGAGAAACGATTCCACTCCTACGATACGTTTGTTGTGAGGAAAGAGAGATTGTTTAGAACGAATCTTTCCACGTGGGTGTTTGACATCCTCTGTAGAGAATACAGGTGAAGTCCATTTTCTTCCCAGAGGTGTGCAGATCATCACCAATCTGCACTGATGGGCAGTAAAATGAGTCACACCACTGCAAGTAAGCTTCCAAATCTTTGTCATGGCTGAGAAACAACACTACCTGTGGCAAAGAGGAACACCAAAATTGTTCAAATAAATCTGCATTAAAATGACCACGTCTTGCTGGGTCTTGGAAAATGAGGCTGAGGGCTGTGTGGATGCTGGGCCGCGACTCAGTGCAGTGTTTGCTTGCAGACGCTGGCGGCGGTGTTCGAAGGCCTGCCCTCCACCAACCTGGCCGAGCTGCTCATCTCGCTGGTCTGCCTGTTCGTCCTGGTTCCCGTGAAGGAGGTCAACACCCACTTCCGCCACCGGCTGCGGACGCCCATCCCCGTGGAGATCCTCACGGTGAGCCGGGGCGCACCCCAACCAGTGAGGGAAGGGACTGAGACTCCCACTGCGGAGCAGTTCAATCCGGTTCTGGTTTTGCAACAAGCAGGCTTTTTTGCAGATCTTATGGCAGACAGGGGACGTTCAGTACAATTTTAACTTTGTACATCTATCTATCGAAATGTGCTCAAAATGAAGGAACAGACACCTAGCACTTGGTGTTTGCTTACTTGATAAAGTCTGGTGGTGAAATAGATCAAACCTCTATGCAGTGGAAATCTGATTTGCTTTCTTGCAAACAAAGAGGACACTAACTGCCTTATATACTGTCTCCTGGACTTCCCAGCCCAGCGTGAGCTTTCATTTCTCAAAACACTTTTAAACAGCGAGACATCTTCCTCCCCTCTTCTCTTGAGGAGAGGTGGATCCACCGCAGAAGAAAAAAACATTCCAGGAAATATCTGATAACTAGAGATCCACTGCTATTCAGTGCTGAGAGGCTGTGGGTTTGGGGAATAGTGCACACGCTAGCCAAAATGTAAAGAAAACCCTTACCCTGTTAGGCCTGTGTGAGCTGCAGGAACAGCTGGGACATTGTGTGGCCTGAGGGATTCCTAAGGGATCTGACGTATCTGCAGCCCAATATCATCCCATTCCTGCAGCAGGACGGCCTTCAGCTGGGATTGTGAGGAGGGTGGTGGTGTGTGGGGACAGAACTGGACAGGACTGAGGTTTATGATAGAGATATACAGTATTTCCTTCTCCTCTGGCCTATTAGGCATTTTCTGCAACTGAAAGAATCAATTCTTTAGATGGGAGTGGGGGAGGTTGCCGTATTTTGGAGTGAGTGCACATGCCCTGGTTAGCAATGGGATAGGATAGATAATCCACTTGGGATCTAAGACAGAAGCAGGAATGAGAGCAAGGTGGCTGAATGCTTCTCAGTGGATCTCCTGCTTTCAGTCTGCTGCCCTGTGGATTGTGGGTCTCAGAACTCTAATTATTGGTATTGGATCTGGCAGGTTATCATCGCGACGGGGGTCACCTACGCCTCGTCCCTGGACTCGAGATACGGGGTTCAGATCGTGGGGCACATCCCTGCAGGGTAACAGAATCCTCTTCCTCCAACACACGTGTGCATCGCCCAGCATATTTTTCACAACAGTTTAGAAATGTCATTATTTTCATCACTGAGAGACTGTGATGAATGTTAATTTTTCATTGTCAATGGCTTTATTATATGAAAGATGTGGTTAGATACCTAAACCTAAGTAATGTTTTGTAGCACTGAGATGTGAATCTGGGTGGCACAGTGGTTAGCAGTGCTGCCTCTCAGCGGTTAGTGGTTAGAAAACGGATGGATACAGATGTACATTTACACCGCTGTTCTTTATTCCTCCTCCAGTTCTGTCTGACTGCCCCTGTTCTGCTCGCCCCCAGGTTCCCTCGCCCGCGGGTGCCCGCGCTGGAGACGTTGCCTGTTGTGGCCGGAGACACGGTGGCCATCACCTTCGTGGGCTACGCCGTGTCCATGTCTCTGGCCATGATCTATGCAGACAAACACGGATACTCCATCCATCCCAACCAGGTAACCTTTGGGCGGAGCGGTGGCTCTGTGGCTAAGGATCTGTGTCTGTGACTGGAAGGTTGCCGGTTCAAATCCTGCGGCCGGCAGAGGAATCCTACTCCGTTAGGCCCCTGAGCAAGGCCCTTACCCCAACTGCTCCAGGGGTGCCGTACAATGGCAGACCCTGCGCTCTGACCCCAAGCTTCTCTCCCTGTCTGTGTCTCCTTGGAAAATGTGAAAAGACGAATTCCTAATGCAAGAAATTGTATAGGGCTAATAAAGAAACATTCCGAGACTGCTGGTGGGTTAATTTACTTCTGGGAAAACTGGCCCTGCTGTGAGTCTGTGTCATCATGTGCCCTTCGATACACCGGTGATACACCTGCAGAAGGTGTTTCCTGTCTTGCTCCCGTTGCTTGCTGGGATAGGCTCCGACTACCCCACTCCCCTGAAGTTGAGGAAACAGTTAGAAAAGAAATGAATGGATGAAGGTCCACCGTATGAGATATTAATAATAAATAGGCTTATTTAAATGTGCAGGGCTTGACACAGACACTCCTGCAGATGGCTGGTGCTGAAGCCAGCACCTCAGAGCTACTGCAGGAAATATTGTCCAGCTCACTGTCCACATCATGCCAATACTGGGGGTCTCCTTGGCTAGATCTGGACTGGGAAGCTTTTGTGGAGGAGGGTGGAGTGCTCAGAGTAAGGTCTGTGGGGAAGGGTAGTGATGGGCTCCTGCGAGTCCTGAGGGTAACTGTGTTATTCTGGGAGACTACAGGAGAATCCTAGGAAGTCCATCATCCTAGTCTCTGTCCATAACCCTGCGTTTCTCTGTGCTGCAGGAGCTCCTGGCTCATGGCATCTCCAACACGGTGTCCTCCCTCTTTACCTGCTTTCCGAGCTCGGCCACTCTGGCCACCACCAACATCCTGGAGAGCGCAGGGGGTTACACACAGGTAGGCCTCTCCTGCCTCACTGACCTCCTCTCTGCCTCTCCCCGACTGGCAACGCCCACTTCACTGCCTGCACTTTCCTACACTTAAGCATTGTAAGGTCGATAGGTCATTTCTGATCATGTTTGATCAGTCTTTTATTGAATCAGCTTGATCTTTTACACTGATCTGCTGGTGTGGGAAGGTGAAGCTGAGCAGTACAACCAAACTGGAGGGTATTGTCAGAAGGTCACTGGTGCTGATTTTGTTGCCTTATCAAATGTCTTTCAGTTATGAGTCTTTCATTATAAAGCAATAATAGAGGACCCCTCCTACCCTTTCTTTAATGAATTCCAATTACTCCCCTCAGAATGCATATACAGATTTAAGATCTTATTTATACTTGCGGCCATAATCCTGCTCAACAGATGATTCTCTTGTCATGGATATTTTCCTTATATTGCCTGCTGCTGTAAACTGAATTGCCCCTAGGGGATAATAAAGACTCTCTCTAGTCTCTCTACACATGATTTGATTTGGGCTTTAATGCAGTTTCCCAGTAAATGAGACAAATTAATTTCTACTCTTACTCTTTAGCAGCTGTAAAGGCCCTAGCAGTCCAGTTTTTACAGAACCTTTAACACTCAAACAGTGTTGGCAACAGAATTGAGTTACATCACCTTCTCTTCTCCTTATTTCTCTGTAGCTGTCTGGCCTGTTTACCAGCCTGGTGGTTCTGATTGTACTGCTGTTAATTGGACCACTCTTCTTCTTCTTACCAAAGGTAAGACAGTCTGTGTAGCCATGCTTTCTTGCTGATTTTCCAAGCTCTTTTCTGTTGAGCAGATCTCTGGAGGAGTTTTTACCATGTGTAAACGGACAGACCCATACCCTTTCTCAATGAAGCTGAGATCGATCTCCTCGTCTCTCCCCAGGCAGTGCTGGCCTGTATTAACGTCACCAGCCTCCGCCAGATGTTCTTTCAGTTCCAGGACCTCCCAGAGCTCTGGAGAGTGAGCAAGATTGACTTTGTGAGTGTTTCATCTTGTCTTTCAAGGGCAGACCTGAACTGTCGGGTAGTGTCTGTGGTGTCTGTAGTGGGTAGTGCCCAGGGCTCTGGACTCTGGATCAGAGAGTCCCAGATGGGAAATGGTGTGAGCAGGTTGTCTTTGGGAGGAGACCGTACATGAGAATTTGTTCTTGTTTGACTTCCTCGGTTAAGTAAAAGGTTCCCCGAAGGCAGGGGGCAGTTTCTCACTCCTGTGTGCTTGTGCAGGCGGTGTGGCTGGTCACCTGGCTGTCTGTGGTTGTTCTCAATGTGGACCTAGGACTGGCTATCGGCGTGGTCTTCTCCATGATGACGGTCATCTGTCGGACACAGAGGTACACCATAGTAACCCTTGTTTCAAAATAACCGGTGAACAGAGTATTATATTATGTTACTAATAATATCTGTGATCATCATCATTTTCCATCCATTTTCGAACACCTTTATCTAATACCTAATAAAAAGGTATCGGGGGAGCCAAGGTACAGTACACCAGTACAGAGCGTTGCAGGCCAGATATAGAGACACAAACACACCCAAACACACCAGCAACATCTTTCCCAGAAGGCAAATAAGCTACCAGCATGTCTTTGGCTGTGTGAGGAAACCCACACAAACACAGGGAGAACATGCAAACTCCACACAGACAGCACCCTAGGAGCTGAACCCAGGACCCCACGCTGTGGGGCAGTAATGCTAACCCCTGCCCATCATGCCACCCATCCATCCATCCATTTTCACTCCACTTTTCCTTGGTGAGGGTCGCGGCTGCAGCAGGCCGAGTAGATCAGCCCAGACTTGCCTGTCCCCAGCAACAGATTCCAAGGCAGCCGAGAGATGTAATCCCCCCAGCGTGTCCTGGGTCTGCCAGGGGGTCTGTGCCCAGTGGGACGTGCCCGGAACAGCTCCAGCGGAAGCCGACCGGGGGGCATCCTAACGAGATGCCCAAACCACCTCCACTGGCTCCCCTCGATCTGCTCCGAGGCTCCTCACCCTGTCACGGAGAGATAGCCCAGTGGCCCAGCGGAGAAACCTCATTTCCACCGCTTGTATCCGCGATCTCCTTCTTTCGGTCATTAATCATGCCACCCATCATCATTAATAATATTTACAAATAGAATGTACTTTATTACAAAAGAAGTATGACAATTAAAAAATGCCAGAATTATCATGTTTCAATTGATAAAATATTGTTGTAACGATCTTCTGTTCTAATTAACTGCCTTACTGAAGCACCACGCAGACACACGGGCCCCTAGCTTGTTTATCTGGAGCTTTACAAAATCCGCAAGACTGATGATGACACGAGAACTGTTTTTTTCTCCAGGACTGATTGTTTTGTCCTGGGAAGAGCTTCCAACACCGAGATTTACCGGCCCATCGAGCAGCACAGCAAGGTAAGAGCAAGGAACACTTCTACAAACCCACCCATCTCACCCTCATCCTCACCACTCAAACTATGACTGTGATAACACCATGGTATATTCCAGTCCTGGTCCTGGGGGGTCAGTGTGTCTGCAGGGTGTCCAGTCCTGGTCCTGGGGGGGTCAGTGTGTCTGTAGGGTGTCCAGTCCT